TAGAAGTCTATTTGGAGGCTGAGAGTGTAGCTCAGTGGTAGACCACCTGCCTAGCACGCTCAAGGCCAAGAGGTAAATCCTCAGGATGACAAGAATGAAAAAAAAAATGGAAATGTATTCAACACATCGTTTGCAAGGTAGGAAATTCAAGAGCATGGTGCTTCAGGTCTGTCAAGGGTCTTCTTGCTGCATCGGCCCCTAGTGGGAGCATCATACTACTACAGAAAGGAATCAGGTCTCTCCTCCTTATCATATAAAGTCAAGAATAATACCATGAGGTCCCTCGTGACCTGGCTTCCTAATCACCTCCCAAAGGCCCTACATCCAAACACCAATAACATATGAATTTGGAGATTAAGTTTCTAACATAAGCGCTCTGGGGTGAAATCACCGTATGCTTGTCTCTTCTCCAAGTAACTCGGGCATATGCTAACAGCCACCAGCCTCCATCTGCAGTAGACAGTGGGACCCTCTGCAACAGCCCTTCCCAGAGACTGTGACTTCTCCTCTGGAGTCCAGCTCCTTCCCTGGGCTCTTAGGAAGACACACATAGATTCTCCTGCTCTGGGGCCCCACAGACCTATGTGGGGTTCTGTCCTTGGACAAGAGGACTGCAGTCACAAGTCTCCCTCTCTTGGATGACAGCGTGCTGCATTTTCTCCCCGTCCCTTCATTTCCTCCTTGCTGTCCAAGTCTGGGGATCTTTTCTGGTCTTGTCAGTTATTGTTTTGAATCTAGGCTCATACCCTGGTTTTGAAAACTCAAAAGCTAGACTATTTTCTCTCTTTCTACTCTTTAATCCCTTTCCTGTAAGCAGCCTTGCTTGAATTAAAGAATTCCCCTGTATGGGAAAAGCAGCTCTAAAGGGGAAAATGTGTTAGCCTTTCAACATCAGGTCTCACCAGGCACACAAAAGGAGAGGGAAAACAGCAAGGGACACTAGGCAAAAAGATAATGCAGGGACTCCACATCCAGGACGTGAACCATGAATGGATTTTGTTTTCTTATTATCTTTTTCTAAATTTTATGAAGTTTCTAGAATACATATGACTCTCATTATACTCACACAAATCGTTTATTCCAGTTCATTTGTACTTCCTATTCTATGCAAATCTAATTTACTGCATGAGAAAAACTTTTAATCTAAGCACATTTACCAGAACAAAACAAATGCACAGTGTAGGGAAAATAAAGCGAGAGTCCAGTCACACTCGAGGAGCTGGACTTAGTTTCTAATGTGACAAGAAATTGCTTTTGTTATGAAGCTAGAAAACCTTGAGAAAATTGGAACCACTCAGCATGAGCCAGCAAACAACCCCAAAGGTTCATGTTATACTTTTCTTTATATTGAGTGCATAATAATTACATATATTTATGGGATACAGCATGTGATCTTTTTTTATTTTTTTAAATTTTTTAAAATTTTATGTGCATGAGCGTTTTGCCTGCATGTGTATATGTACATCACATGTGTGCAAGCCCCTGTAGGCCAGAAGAAGGTGTCAGATCTCCTGAAACTGGAGTTACAGACAGTTGCAAGCTGTTTTGTTTTAGTACCTCTTGTTTTGCTTCCAGAGCTGAGGACCAAACCCAGGGCCTTGTGCTTGCTAGACAAGTGCTCTACCACTGAGCTAAGTCCCCAACCCCTTTTAAAAATATTTTTAATTATGTGTACATGTGGGGAGTATGCACATGTGTATGCAGGTGCCCTTGGTGGCCAGAAGAGGGTGACAGATCCCCTGGAGCTGGAGTTACAAGAGGTTGTGAGCCACCCAACATGAGTACTGGGAACCAAACTCAAGTCCTTTGCAAGAACGGTATACAATCTTAACTACTGAGCCATCTCTCCAGTCCCATTGAATGTATTTCAATACATGTATGCAATGTATGACTAAATCAACATAATTAGCATTTGTTTCCTCATTATTTCTTGTTTAGACTTTTGAACGCCTTCCCTATGGTTCATAAAAATATGCAGTAGGTTATTGTGAGCCATAGACACACTATCATGCTCTGGTTCCTTAATATACATATTTTTAAAGATTTTATTTATTTTTATGATATGTGTATGGGTGTTTTGGCTTGGTTTGGTTGTGTATGAGTGTTATGCCTGCCTGTATATAAGTGCACCATGTCATGCAGTGCTAGAGGAGGACAGAAGAAGGCTTTGGATCCCCTGGAACTGAAGCTTTCAATGGTTATTAGCCACCATGTGGGTGCTGGGCTCCAAATCTGGGTCCTCTGGAAGAGCAGCAAGTATTCTTAACCACCAAGCCATCTCTCCAGCCCCATGTATGGATGTTTTGCCTGTGCATATGTGTAAGTGCACCACAATTGTGCCTAGTGCCTACAGAGGCTAGAAGAGGGTATTGGATCCCCTGAACATGGAGTAAGAAGAGGTGTTAGTTGCTATGTGTGTGCTAGGAATCCAACCTGGGTCCTCTGAAGGGCAGCAATATTCTTAGCCACCAAGCCATCTCTGCAGCCCCATGTATGGATGTTTTGCCTGTGCATATGTGTAAGTGCGCCACAATTGTGCCTAGTGCCTACAGAGGCTAGAAGAGGGTATTGGATCCCCTGAACATGGAGTAAGAAGAGGTGTTAGTTGCTATGTGTGTGCTAGGAATCCAACCTGGGTCCTCTGAAGGGCAGCAAATGCTCTTAAACACTGAGCCATCTCTCCAGCCACTAATGAGCAAAATTTTGGAAGAGGTTTCATGTCTTGAGGCAATTGGGTTATTTATGGTTACATGGAATGATTAGCGGGTGCCTTAGATTATATGTGAAAAAGCAGACCTGATTGGGGATTCCTGTTCCAGTGACACACAGGAAAGAGCTCTCCACAAGGAGATTAGGAAGAGCTAAAGAAGGATCCTAGCTGAGGACCTCCAACGCACAAACTGTATAGTATAGAGTTGTTTCTACTTTGTCACAAAGAACCCACCTTTTGTGCCTTTGAGTCATTACAGCATGGCCAGGCTGCACAAGAGAGCCACAGCCAACCAAAGGCAATTCTCTAAAGAAATTGGCTCCTGTGAGCCCTTATCCTACCTTGGAGCAGCTGGGCCAGGGCACCAGCCACACAAGAGTCACTTAGAGCTCTGTGCAATGGGAGCTGGTTCCAGCAAGGACTCAGGTTAAGCTCAAAGCCAAGTAGGAGTCAGTAAAACAGAGTGTGAGAGTAGGGTAAAGGTGAAGTCAAAGGTTAGAGTGGAGTGACGTGAAAAGAATGGGAGAGAAGGGGCTGCCTGGACACTGACCTCAGGTGGTCTGGTCCCAGTTCTTCCTCTTTTCTCTTCCACAAACCTATGAAAACAGCAATATTTCTTACAAGCAGCTCTCTATTACTTCACACAGAACAAAGAATCTGCTGAGATTAACTATGGCTAATGTAGCCAGGTTAGGAGGAATACATTGTTCAGAGGATTGTATAAGATAACTTGAGATTACATTGGGGGGCAGAACTCTTACATGTGGAGACCAGAGTCGATTCTGGAAGTGTTATCGTCATTTATAGAAGTTGTTATAAAACCAGAGAAAACAAAAAGGATTGCATGTGAAGAAAACCAGGGGCACTACGTCCCCTGAAACCTGGGGAAGAAGATAAGGAGGTGTGTGGGTGTATATGGATTCTGCTAAAGGTGGGACACAGGAATTTGAGTGATATAGTGTACAATAACTTCACTTTGGGACTGGAGAGATGACTCAGCAGTTAAGAACACTTGCTGTTCTTCCAGAGGAACCGGGATTGATTCCCAGCACTCACATGGTAGCTAACAACTGTCTATAACTCCAGTTCTAGGGGATCCGATACCTCTTCTGGCCTCTGTGGGCATTGTATGCACGTGGTACACTTAGATACATGCAGGCAAAACACTCATACACATAGAATAAAAATAACAGATAAATTATTTAAAAAAAAATAAGCACAGTTTGGTCAAAAATGTAGAAGGGGAGCTAGAGAGATGGCTCAGCAGTTAAGAAGACTGGGTGCTCTTGCAGAGGACCAGGTTACGTTCCCAGCACCCACATGACAGCTAACAATCATCCATAACTCCAGTTCCAAGAGATCCAATGCCCTCTTCTGTTTCCGTGGCATTGCACCACATGATTGCACTTACATAGATGCAGGAAAAGCATGCATACACATAAAATAAAAATACATTCAAATGTAAAAGAATCTGAGTCACACTTTTTATGAGTTGGGAAGAGTAGCTAAAGGCAGTGGGAGAACCGAGAGGAGTTGACCAAAAAGAAGGGTAAGATGACCAGGTGACCAAGAGGTAAGGCGACATTTATGGACCCTGGAAATAAAAGTAAAGAAGGTGACTGGAAGCAGCTTTTGTTTGCTTGTTTTGTTTATAAGACAGGAGCTCTTATGGCCTAGGCTGGCCTGGAAATCATTACATAGCCAAGAATGACCTTGAATTCCTGATGCTCCTGCCACTGCCTCCCAAGTGCTGTGATTACAAGTGTGTGCTCCCACATCTGACTTTGAATCTTTCCAGGATGAATTTCTTTGGGTTGGAGATGCAAAGCAGAGTAGTGGATACTGTTATGTGCTCCCCAGGCACATGCTGCTGAGAGAACGTCTAAGAACTAACTCTATCCTCTTCTGTAGAGAACTGTCCTCAACTGCAGAAGGCTGCTTTGCCTTGAAGAGTAAAACCCATGCCCTTTGGGTGAGGCCAGTGGCCAAATGGCTGCCAAATGGCCCTTTTCCCCATGGGATCAGCTGATATCCATCTTTGCTCCTTCCTTCCCCAGCTCTATCCTGAATCCCTCTGTTCTTCTTTCTCTAGGGGCATTCTTCAATAAATTGCAATCACAACAATGCCCACCTTGAACTACGCCTCAAGGAAAACCAGCCCAAGGCAGTGGTATGCTTCAGACCAGCTGTGATGTTCAAGCTAGATAAGGAGCAGAAAGGAACTGAAGTTATCACATAGAACAAAGGACAGGTACAGAGACAGTAAAGACAAGAGGCTGCAACTGGAGAGAGGGATGTTGGTGCTAGTCGGAATGTGGCTCGGTCCAAGCCATGCAGAGCTTCTTCAGCTTTTTCCACTTTCAACCTCTTTTCATTTAAGAAGTTTTTACATGACTCTGAGCATACAGGTATATAAAATAAGTATACAAGTCAAGTGTTTACTAATAATAATAAGGACTTTTTTAATTTTTAATTTTTATTTTTATTTATGCATATGAGTGTATTGCCTGCATGTATGTAAGTGCAACCATGTGGTGCAATGCCTGTGGAGGTCAAAAGAGGGATCCCCGGAACTGGAGTTATGAATGGTTGTTAGCTACCATGTGGGTGCTGGGGACCAAACCTCGGTCTTCTGCAAGAGCAGACAGTGCTCTTAATCACTGAGTGATCTCTCCAGTCCTCAATAAATCATAAAGATTTTTATTTTAAAAAACAGTTCTTTGGATCAGGTGAGAAAGCTTAATGCCCACTAATCCTGGTAATTTGAGTTTGATCCCTGGAACCTGCATGGTGAAAGGAGAGAATTGACTCCTGCAAGTTGTCCTCTGATCTCCACAAATACCATGGCATGAATTCCCATATACACATACACATAAAACACAAATAAATGCAATAAAGCAATTCTTTGGTATAGATATAGATAGAGATATAGATGATATACATATAGATGTAGATAGATAGATATCTTTGCCACTTATTAAAGACAAAAGCAAGTTTGCACACTAATGAGATGAGTGTGTTTATTTTTACAAGAAGAATTAAATCTTGGTAAAATGATTGATACTGCTAGACATACGTAGAACACCTTCAACGTTGTTCAAAGTTGGTCAATATTTTGATTGTATAATCATCAGTGCTAAGAAAAAGCCATTCCATATAAATACTTAGGACGAAACTGATGGAAGTTTAGGGTTATTTCAGAAATTGTTGGAAATTATACCCTAATCCAAGCCAAAATTCACTGATATTTTTAATGAAACTCAAGTCAGCAACTCAAATAGCAATTTTTTAAATCCAATATTCCAACACAATACAATACAAAGATCTAATTTGATACTTACATGCTGAGTGCACTGTGGGAAAATGTTAACAATCTGTGTTTTTCATAATTAAGCCATTATGCTTCTGTAAGAGCAGAAAACTTTGTATGCACAGCTAAAAACACTACAATTCATAATGTACAACAGCCTCGACTCTGGGCTGTGTTTCAGGCAGTGTTCATTGGTGCTGCATGACTTAATGGCATGCATACATGGTACGGTGTCCATGATGTGTTCTTAGAACCAAGGCTGCAATGAAGCCATGTGCACCGTGAATGAGCGGTGCCAGAAACACCTGGGATCCATTATACATTGATTTTTAATTTTCAGTTATTGCCCACTCAGAAACCTTTTACTGTTACCAAATTTTCATGACCGCTACATGTATTTATGATCAGAGCCCTCTCCCAAGTCGCCCCCCGCCACAGACATATGGGGTTGAAATCCACAGTTTATGGAACCGGGATGTAGAAGATAAGGTCTCTAAAGGGGCAAGGTCACTAAAGCAGAGGTCTTGTTGCTGCCTGGAGTATCCCTGTGGCCACTGACATTAATGTCAACAACTGAATCTGGGATGAAAATCAAAGCTAAGGCAGACCACATATCTTCAATGACTGTGGAGGTTGTGACCAGGAAGGTGGCAGAGCCTGGCTGTGTGACCCTGAAACCAGCAGGCAGGTGTTCATGTGTATCCGTGTTTGTGTGTGCATGTACACAAGTGTATGCATGTGTGCAATAATGTGTAGCACCCAGAAGTTGACATCAGATCTCGTTTAACTTTCTCTTTTTAGGTAGGGTTCCTCACTGAGCCTGGATTCACCTGATTTGCTTAGACTGGCAGGCAAACAAATCCAGGGATCTCCTGTGTTTACCTCCTCACTGGTAATTCAGGCATTTTCTTAGCTTTCTCCAGATAGATAGATAGATAGATAGATAGATAGATAGATAGATAGATAGATAGATAGATAGATAGATAGATAGATAGATAGATAGATAGATAGATAGATAGATAGATAGATAGATAGATAGATAGATAGATAGATAGATAGATAGATAGATAGATAGATAGATAGATAGATAGATAGATAGATAGATAGATAGATAGATAGATAGATAGATAGATAGATAGATAGATAGATAGATAGTGTGTGTTTGTGTGTGTGTGTGTGTGTGTGTGTGTGCTGGGACTTGAACTCAGGTCTTCATGCTTTCACAGCAAGCACATTACCAACTGAGCCCTCTCTCCAGCCCCTCCTTCTTATGGAGGAGAAATGACAGATCCTAAATCTGAACACAGAATAGAGTCTTCCTTCAAAAACCTTCACAGACCCTTCCCAACCAATGGGGAGGGTGGGTTACCTGAAGTAAAGATGGTCACTACCATAGCAAGATGCCCTTCCATTCTGTAATGACTGGTGTCTTTTTGTTTGTTTGTCTGTCTTTGCTTTTGTTTTTGAGTCAGGGTCCCATGTAACTACCCAAGATGGCCTCAAACTCATTATGTGCCAAAGAAGACCTTGAATTCATGACCAGCTTTGTCTAGTGTCTTAACCATGTGAATCTCTAAGCTCTACAAGGCTTAAGACTTTCTCCTTCTTGCTCACAGGCTAGCATAATAGACCACAATCAGTATAAGCTGGACAGGTGAATGAAGTGATCAGTTAATCTGTGTTTCATAATAGTTCAGTACAGGACAATAAAGAACACAAACCTATTTCAGTTCCAGTGTTGAGCCCCAGCCTTGCCATCCTTGAGGGGGAAGTGGTACGATGAATCTGCACATAACTTGACCTTGGCAAGTTCTCCACAGTTGGCCTCAGCTGGTAAACTTCCTCCCAGGAAATCTCAGAGCTGACCCTAGGTGGTGCCAGGGTGGAAGGGCCAGAGTGAGGCATGCAGGTGTGAACACGATGGGAGAGGTGTGGTGGCCAGAAGCTGAGGTTTCACCCAGGATCTGCTTCCCGAACTGGCCCAGCCCAGGGGCGGAGTCTCCTCCCGGTGCTTGGGAGCCTTGTAGTGTACTGGAGGCTCCTAGGGGAGTAGAGTGAGCTGACGACCTGATGTTGCCCACAGGCTATGGCAGGCGCGGCTTCGGGGTCTCTGCTCCAGCTCCTGCTGCGGCTCGTGGCGTTGTTGGGGACACTGCGGTCACAGGTGAGCGTGGGGTCGGGGGTTGTGCTGGAGACAAGGGCGCACTGTCAGAGGGGCTTCCTCTCCCTCCTTCACCTTGGACTTGGTTCGCCCCAAATCGACCCCTAGAAAATAGTGGCACTTTCCCTTACTACCACCTAGCTGGAGGGACTTGTGAGCCACGGGCCAGGTACCTGGAGCAGCTGGGAAAGGGGAGGGGACTCAGCCCCGAGGTCTGGAGGAGACAGTGGGTCAGTGAAGTATGTCCTCTCAAAACTTCTGCAGATCCAGCTTCCTTGAAAACTATGGTCCACTTAAGGTAGGCCGAGAATCTAGCTGTGAAGCCACTGTTACAATCTCCATGCTTCACATGGTGCCCCTCCTCCTTATGTGACTGGATGGCCATCCCTTACCCCAGGTTCAGAACTTCTAGGACAAATGAGCTTCAAGCGTTGGGATCTGGTCCAACTGCCTGCTGGAAATGATGCGGTCCACTCTGTCAGAAATATGACCTGAAGACAGAAGTCGGCCTGCCTGAGGTCCAGTTGTCCCACCTGAGTCTCTGCCCTCATTTCCAGCTAAAGAGACAGCGTTAGAATTAGGCACTGCCAGCTCAGGGTTCATCCACAGTTGCCACATAACCAGGAGCGGGCAACGGGGCCAGATCTGATGGTTCTGAGACCAGACACTGAAATCCTGAATGTTGGAGGACAGCCTGGTCTACACAGCAAGTTCCAATTCAGCCAGGGCTATGTAGGGAGCCCTTATCTCAAAAAACAACAACAAAAAGTTAATTAAAGCAAAACTTTAAGCCATGTAAGGATCAAACAAAATTCCCTTTGGGGCAGTCAGTCTGCAATCCTCTCTCTGGCTCATCTCTCCTGTCATATTACAGATGGAGAGACTGAAGCCCAAAACAGAAAGGGGCTGTGTGGTGCCTCCCCTGTCTCTTCACCAAACACCAGTCTCCACCCAGGACCCTAGGGTCCAGAAGCAGGATGTGGCCTTTGCAGGGGTGCAGCTGGGCCACCCGGATGTTAGGGTTCCTGCTCTGGGCTCAGCCTCACCCTGTTTGCTCAAGGAGGGCCCAGAACTGGCAAGCAAGCTGAGCATGGGCCAGATGTAAGGTAGCTCAGCTCCAGGCTTCCCTTCTGCAGCATCAGGGGGTCAGTAGAGCTTGGCACCAAAAGCAGCTGGGCCAGTTTGGGGAGGCACAAAGGGTCTTCTGAAAAGAGGCACGTAAATGACTACAGAGAAAGAAACCAAGTCTTGGAGTCAGAGAGACCCAGTTGTACAATTCCTTATCTGTGTGGCTTTGGTCACACAGTCACCTGACCTTCCTGAGCCTCAGTCACCTCACCTGTGCAATGGGAGACTTGTAATTCCATCCCAGAAGAAAGCTGTAAGGATCAGTGAAGTCCTTTTGTAAAAGCCTCTGGTCTGGGACTAGAGAGATGGCTCAGTAAAGTATTTGTCACTCACGCATCAGGGCTTGAATTCTGATCCCCAGCACCCACAGAAAAGCCAGGCAGCTGTGGGCCTGTCTGTAACCTCAGTGCTAGATGGGGTGTGGGGAGAAGACAGGCAGATCTGGAACTCATTGGCCAGTCTAGCAGAGTTAATGAGCTTCAGGTTCAGTGAGAGACCCTGTCGAAAAATAGGTGGAAAGTGATCAAGGAAGACAGCAGTGACTTCTGGCTTCCACGTGTAGGCACACGTGCACATGCAGAGAGAGAAGAGAGAGAGAGAGAGAGAGAGAGAGAGAGAGAGAGAGAGGAAGAAGAGAGAAGAGAGAGAGGAGAGGAGAGAGAGAGAGACCTTTGGTCTTCCTTGGGAAATAGGAAAGATTGTGAGAGGAGGGGAGGAAGTGGGAACCAAAGCTTCCCAAGGTCCCTGAGCTCCCACTGAAACCCCCATAGGATCAAGTAGACCATGGGAGCCCGCAGCTTCCCCAGTCCTTCTTCCTCCCCTTTCTGTCTCCCTCTGGAGCAGAGAAGTCATGGTCAGCCCTGCATGGGGCAGGGGCAAGGTGGTCCCAGGACCGTCAGAGGAGCTGACTTTGTTTCCCACCCTAGGTCCAGACCCTCAGGCCAGAGAACCTCCTGCTCGTATCTACCTTGGATGGAAGTCTCCATGCACTGAGCAAGCAGACAGGGGACCTGAAATGGACACTGAAAGATGGTGAGCAGGAAACTGCCATTTCCCTCTCTTTAGGCCTCTGGTTTAATGGGAGTGGGATGGAGAGTCACCTTGTCATAGAATTAAGAGCATGGGTACTGGGAGGAGGGGGTTGGGGAGACGGCTCAGACTCTAAAGAGCTTGACACACAGGGACCTGAGTCCTGATATCTAGCACCCACACAGAAAGCCAAGCACAATAGTGTATCACTGTAATCCCAGCACCAGAGACATGAAGACAGAGGGCTCCCTGGAACTTTCTGGCCAGCCAGTATAGCTCAACTGGTGAACTTCAAGTCCAGTGAGAGACTCTGACTCAAAAAAAAGAAAATAGTAAGATGGAGAGAAGTTGAGGACGACACTAGATGTCAACCTCTGACATTCATGCACATGCATACACACACACACACATACACATACACCCAGGAATACATACAACACACACACACACAAACACACACACACACACACAGGATGTGGCCACTAGACTCTAGCAAGCCAGTGTCCTTAGGAGGCTTCACTACTTAGCAGCTGCGTGGCCTCAGGAACGTTACTTGCCCTCTCTGTACCTCACTGACCTCACCGACAAAATTGGATACAGTGGAATGACACTGACTCACAGTGTTCCTGAGATGAGGATGCTGCATTCCTGTCATTTGCTGAGCTTGGTATCTGGCACTTGGTAAACACTCAATAGATCTTTTCAATAGTCAAGAAGAGATTCAGGCTCCGTGTCTTTGTCTCTGCAGATCCCATCATCCAAGGACCAATGTATGTCACAGAGTAAGTGAACTGGGCCCTCTTAAGGAAAGAGTGACTGGGGAAGTTCTAGTTGTCTGAGGGTTTGGGGGAGGGTAGTATGTTGGAAGTTGGGTAAGAGAAGTAGTCTTGATATGCTATGGGAGAGACTCCTGGTGCTTCAAGGTGTCTCCCACAATGATGGGCTCTGCTAGCTGAGAAGGTAGAGGACATAGGGAGCTTCCTGAAACCAGGGCTGTGCAACCCAGCCTTCTCCATGTTCCTTCCTGCTCCACAGAATGGCCTTTCTCTCTGACCCAGCTGATGGCAGCCTGTACATCTTGGGGACCCAGAAACAACAGGGTTTGATGGTATGTTTTCCTGCACTGCTTGGGATGGGTGAGGGTCAGGCCTCCATCACGCAGGGTGCTGACAGGTGAAGGGGCAGTGTGTCATAGTCTGGTGTCTTACAGAGATGTAAGTCAGGGTTCTGAGCATTGTGGGAGGTTCTCTGCTAAAGGGGAGAACAGTTGCCCGTGTCCGCCGAGCAGACTGTCAGGCCTCTGGTGGCATTATGGAGGCATGTTCGGGGCTCTGTGAGCATTGAGCAGGACACTATGTATTAGTTAGCTTTTGCTAAATAACAAATCACCCCTAAATTCAAAGGCTTAAAACCCAAACAACTCAAAAGTAGCCTGGCCTCAGCTAGGTGGTTCTTCTGGTCTGGGCTGAGCTTCATGCCTACGTGATTCAGCTAGATAGTCCTGTTTCTGAAAGTTGGTTGGTGGTTGCTTGGTAACAGGGCTTACATACTCTCACCTCACCCTGTCCCCTTCACCCAAACCTATAAGACACCAGGGCATTCACTCACCTAATACATAATCTGACTCGTGACTCCAGGGAGATAATGGGTTAAAGGAGGGTGGAGGGTAGCCTGCACTCGTAGCCAACAGAGTCAGAAACAGATCCTCAACCTCTCTAAGTCTTTCATGATCACTGACAGTTTTGAAGCCCTTGTGGGTGTTTGGTTTGGTTTGGTTTGGTTTGATTTGGTTTGGTTTTTTGAGGAAGTCATCGCGTGGGGCTCGAGTGGGTCCTGTGTCATCCTCTCACTGTGTGTGGGATTTTCTACAGTTCTTCAAGAAGCTCTGTTGCAAAGTGATTAAGAACAGTGGCTCTGAAGCTGGCCTGCCTGACTTCAAAACCTGGCTCTGTCACTCACTGTCTCCCTGTGCTCCAGATTTCTCTCCTGGGAAGTGGAGGCCTCTCATGAAGAGGCCACTTTGGGCTAACCTTGGAAGAGTGTGTGGCACAGTGAATATCTCTGCTCTTAATCCTCTTTGGGCCTTTTTCCTCTCCTTAGAAACTTCCATTCACCATCCCTGAGCTGGTTCATGCCTCGCCCTGTCGCAGCTCTGATGGGGTCTTCTACACAGGTGAGCATCTCTCCAGCCCATGGGGTTCAAATCCAACAGGGTTGAGGGCCCTGGTCATGTCAGGTCAACTGTCCATGAACAAAAAGGCACACATACCCTCTCCTACACCATCCTGAAAGCTAGCAGATTTTCCACCTCCACAGGCCGGAAGCAGGATGCCTGGTTTGTGGTGGACCCTGAGTCAGGAAAGACTCAGATGACATTGACCACAGAGGGCCATTCTACCCCCCAACTCTACATTGGCCGAACACGTAAGTCAGATGTTCCCCAAGCTCTGGGAAATGGGAAGCCCCCTCTTTTTCTCTTCCCAGGCCTGACAATTGCTATTCAAGTTTAATTCAGGCGAGTCAGTCAATCTGACAGCCATTAACAAATATTTTACTGATTACCAAACAAGGAACTGAAGGTGTAGTAATAAACAACACATGCTTGGTCATCAGGCCTCCAAGCTGGGTGATTGGGAAATCTCCAATCCCACAAGATGGACAGCCCCTGGAGTGGAGAGGGGGAACATCACATAGACGTTCCTGGTACACAGAAACTCCTTGTTTCTGGCACACAGAGTACACGGTCTCCATGCATGACCCAAAGACCCCAGCCCTGTGCTGGAACACGACCTACCACCGCTACTCAGCAACCCCCATGGATGGCTCACCTGGGAAGTGTGAGTGTCACCTTTCTCAGCCCCACCTTGGAGCTAGATCCCCAACCTAGGGATCCCTGAGTGACATTGGGACCAAGTCCCAACAACACGTGTCCCTTCACATGCTGAATAATGCAGCTTGACAGAAGACCGTAGGTAACTCCCAATATGTAGGCTTGATCCTCACATATCCTGAGCACTGTCTCAACCTCTGAACCCTCCCACACCCCAAATGACCCCAGCCAGTTGGCCTAAGATGACTCATTGGATCCTAAAGGACCCCAAGCAACCACCCCAAACCTTGAACACGCCCCACATGTCCTAACTGACCTGAACATGGTGAGTGACCCCTATAGATGACTTCTATATGACCCTTACTAATCGCTTGATCCTTATAACCATCCTTTCCGACTTCCTGAGGGGCCTCACATGTGCTCCTAAGTGGCCCTCAAATCCCAAATCTCCCATTCTTCACAAGAATCCATGCAGATAACCCTGGCACATCACAGGTGACCCAAGTGCTTCCCAAGGGACCCACATGCCACTGGACCATATAGCTTGACCCACCTGAATGAACATCAGTCTGCCCTTAGCTATCGTGGACTTTCTGCATCTTAATATCCCCGCCTCTCTCTCTCCACACCTTACATCCCTCAAATGACCCAGACTGACGCACAGACATACTTGAGTCAACTTTTGATAACCCTGAATGATAGTTGTTGAAAGCAAACTCTGAGTTTCCTACATCACAATAATCCTCCAAGTAGCTTCATTCAACCTCTGAATGCCTGAATGACCCTCCACCCTAGTGTTCTCAAATATGCCCCATGAGAGTTCTCTGACATCTCCCCAGCCATGTTTCTTGGCAGACATGAGCCACCTGGCATCCTGTGGGATGGGTTTGCTGCTCACTGTGGACCCAGGAAGTGGGAGTATACTGTGGACACAGGACCTGGGTGTGCCTGTGATGGGCATCTACACTTGGCACCAGGATGGCCTGCGCCAGCTGCCCCATCTCACACTGGCTCGAGATACCCTAAATTTCCTTGTTCTCCGCTGGGGCCACATCCGACTGCCTGCCTCAGGCCCCGAGGATACAGCCGCCCACTTCTCTGCCTTGGACACCCAGCTTCTGTACGTGTTAATACCTGGAGCCCAGGGAGGGATTTTTCTGAAGGTGTTATAGCCCAGGCCCAATGGCTAGGCATGATATTCAGCCATAACCCAACCAACATAGCTGATGCAGGTGTCAAAATATGCTCCTAAATGGCCCTAGAGCCCCCTGCATACGTATCAGGTGATTTGGTAAATTTTTCCTGAGAGGTTTTTATGGGTCTCAGCCTGTTATGATTGGTAGATGCTGTACCTTATTGATTGTTAAATAGTTTAATGCCACCCTTTCTTATACCATCCTATAGACACAGACTGAAAAAGTCAGGGTTGCCCATTCATTCAATTTGTTCCACAAATGCTTTTTGGGCACTTGCTGTGTGCCAGTCATTTCCTAGGCTCTGCAAGTACAATAGTAAACAATAGACCCAGTGTTTCTGCTTACAAGAAGCTCAGAGTCTAGTGGGGGACAGATGCATAAAAAGACAATTATAATGGTGTGATAAGGGATAAGAGACAGATTGTGATTTTAATGCATAGGAAAAATGCCCAGATTGAGACTAGGGACAGGAGGCAGCCATGGAAAGCTTCCAAGAGGAAGCGACATGTAAGTTGAAACCCAAAGGATCAACAGGAAAAGAGAAAGCATGGCAGGTAGGGTACAGAACCATAGATCTGACCAGAGAGTCATGAGGTTGAGGGCAAAGCTGAGATCTTGTGGAGTTACTTGCAAAGGGGTTTGACATTCTCTTCCAAAGCTAAAGAGCAGTGACTGGAGAGCTTCAAGCAAAAAAGTAATTGAGTCATGTTATCATTTCAGAAAGGTCATTTAGGTTGCAGCTTGAAGACTATCTCAGAGTGAAGTAGAAGGATACTTGTAAGACATTGCATGAGTTCAGGAAAAAAGATGATGCTGTAGGACTTGGCATAGTGGCCCTCACCTCTAATTCCAGCACTAGAGAGGCAGTGGTAGGCAGATCCTTGTGAGTTTGAGACCAACTGGTCTGCATAGTGAGTTCTAGGCCAGCCAGGGCTATGTAGTAAGACCCATCTCAACAAAACAAAACAAAACAAAAAGGTGATACTGTGAGCTGGAGCAGAAAATATAGATAAGTAGAGGATAATAGAGAGTAACATGAGGAATTAGTAGGATTTTGAAGATTGGAGAGTTTGGCAGTTGTGAACAAGGAGTCAGAGGCTCCTTCCTGAATATATACATATTCAGGTTTTTAGAGAAAGCATGGATGCTGTCAATTTTAGAGATTAGGAGCACTAGAAAATGAAGAGAGAAAAAGATGAAGAGGGAGTTGATGAGTGCAGATTCAGAAAACGGAGAGGTTTTTTTTTATTTTATTTTATGTGTATGAGTGTATTGCCTGCATTTCTGTAAGTGCACCTATGTTATGCAATGTCCATGGAGGTCAGAAGAAGGTGTTAGGAACAGTTGTTCACTACAATGTGGGTGCTGGGAATTGACCCTGAGTCCTCTTCAAGAGTAGTCAGTGCTCTTAACCACTGAGCCGTCTCTCCGGCCACAGAAATCTGAGTTCTTATAAAAGGTCTGGATCAGGTGTGGTGGTCATGCCCGTGATTCTAGTACTCAGAATACTGCCAAAGGAGGATTGTAAGCTTGAAGCCAGCGTGAGCTACATAGTGAGACTATCTCCAATAAAAATAATAGATACAGATTTAGAAATTATGACAACAGACTTTGAACCAGTTAGCTTTGCTACATAACAAACCACTCCAAAACTCAGAGATTAGGAAAACAAAATTTGCTATTTTTCAAGATTTGTGGATTATCGGGTGGTATTTCAGGTCTCCAATAATAAACTAGTGATTTGGTAGAGCCAATGATTTAGGATGGCTTCACACATCTACGTAATAGTTGGTTAACTACTTGGCTTATGAGGTATCAAATAGAATGGTTCATTTATACACCATAATTCTCTCATCCCTTATGCGAAAGCAGACTTCCTCACATCGTAGTCTTAAGGCTTCAAAGAACAATGCACTTGCCCTGATTAAGCGTATGCTATATTTTCTATTCTTTCATTGGCTAAATCAAGTCACATGGTCAACCCTAGAGTCTGCAGAAGGGGACTATAAAAGGACATAGGTGCAGAAATACTGAAGCTACCCATTAGCATCACTCATCCTCTTTTTCTCTCCCCCTTTAGGATGACACTCTATGTGGGGAAAGACGAATCTGGTTTCTATGTGTCTAAAGCACTGGTCCACACAGGGGTGGCCCTTGTGGTAAGAGGCTGTTCCCTGAACATACCAGAAAGAGGGATGGAGCAAGAAAGAACTTCTTACCCTCAAGTCTCTCTGTCTTCTGCCATAGCCCCGTGGACTGACCCTGGCTCCCATGGATGGCCCCACAACAGACGAGGTGACACTTCAAGTGTCAGGGGAGCGAGGGGGCTCACCCAGCACTGCTGTCAGATACCCCTCAGGCAGTGTGGCCCTCCCCAGCCAGTGGCTACTTATTGGTGAGGTTCCCTGTCTCCAATTCGGAGAAAATATAAAGACCTGTAAGCCCGGTTTCTGAGTTTGGAAGGATGAAGTCATCTTCAACAGCCTTTTATCCCTGCCACTTAGGACACCATGAACCACCCCCAGTCCTGCACACTACCATGCTGAGGGTCCACCCCACCCCAGGGAAAGGGTCTGCTGAGACAAGACCCACAGAGGATCTCCATGCCCCAGCTCTCTCAGAGGTCAGTGCTGGGGCGACAGAGGGCATCCATGGACCTAAAAAGATGCCCTTGGACATTTTCCTCATTCTATCTCATGCAAGTTCCCAGGAAACAAACATTTTGTTCTTGCTACTGCCAGACATGTTAGAAGCATCAAAAAGATATTGGCTGAAGCATATCGTGAAGCAGCATAGTTCCCAGACTTTTCCCCCTTCTTATTCAGTGTAATCATTGTAAAATATTCATCAGGTGAGAAATTGAAAACAGAAAAACTATAAAGGCATGCTCTCCTGGGAGGAAGTTGGAGAAATACTAGTAAATATTTCAAGGTTGGAAGGAACTGCTGTCTGTGCCTTCAGAGCAAATAAACTGGGAGTTTTCCCTAAGCCCACCAAATTCCTAATCTCGAGAGGTGAATATCTGTGTTTTCAATAATATCCCAGGAGCATATGAGTTTTTAATGACATTCAAGGACACACTGGTCTTGGTAAACCTTTGGTAAATGTCCTCTCCTGAGTGCCATGATGTTTCAGCACCAGGGAGAGCATTACACCATCACATAGGGACCACTTCCTGCCTCTTTAGCCAATTCCTGCCCTGGATTGTGTTGTGAAGAGTTAGGGGTTTCACAGTAGGGTGGAGTGGAAGTGAAAGCTGCTGTGTCCTCAGATCCTGAGCCAGAGCACAGAACAACCTTGGGACCGAGAGATGCATCTTGAAGTGAAAACCTCAGACTCTTACCTAGGACTGGGATCCCAAGACCTGTTGGCAGCTAGCCTCACTGCCATCCTCCTAGGAGGCTGGATCCTCTACCTGATGAAGCAAGTAAGCCCGACATCCTGACCTTGTCCATATTAGGGTCTTCCTAGAGAGAGCTCTGATTTTTTTCTTCACCTCACTTCAACAGCCCCTGCCTTCCTCCCAGGAGCTCCCCAACTCCTTGCTCCTGTGCTCTGTACATTTAAGCTCCAGGGTGAGCCCATCTCAGGCACAGGTGTGGGGCCCATCAGAAGGAAGGCTTGAGCTCTCTAAAACCCATGTGTTGTAGCAGCAGCAGGAGCTGGCAGAGCAGCAGAGACCTTTGGCACCTGAAGGCCCTCCTGACACCTCACAGGAAGCTCACACACAGCCCTCAAGGGCCACGCTCTGGGGCCAGAAGAGACATCAATGTCCTTCAGAGCAAGCCCAGCCATCCTGTGACCCTGATGGTAAGTGTAAGTGAGCAAAACAGGGATAGTCAGAAACACGGAAAAGGGAGAAGTGGACAGAACTTGAATTCAAAGTTAAATTGTTAGAAGTCACGGTTAGAGGGATGGTTAAAGCTAAACAAAATGGCAAAAGGGTATTTTAAGGAAACTGTAGAGTTGCACACTCTCCAAGTATCTTCTATCGTAATTTTATTATTATTTTCAAGGTCTCTGGATGTTGATAGAACTGGTTGTAAGTCAAATTCTGTTAACGGCTAGCTTTTGAAGGGTTGATTCCTTTGAGTATCAGTTTTTTTTTTTTTTTCCTCAAATGGGTATAATAACACCCAGTTCGCTGCATCACTGCATTGAGGTTGTCATCATCATCATTATAAAGTCAGGGCTTCTGACTAGATCAGTTGGTAGAGTGCTCACCTAACACACACGAAGCCCTGGGTTCCATTCTGAGCCCTGTATAAACCAGGCATTGTGGTGTATGCCTATAATCCCAGCACTCAAGAAGTGGAGGCAGGAGGATCAAAAGTTCAAGGCCAGCCTGGGAGATGTGTCAAAAAAATAATTATCATGCCTCGGTGATGATGTTAACATTTGTGCTAAAATGCCATATTTGGTGGTGGTAGTAGCAAATTACCTAGATGTGGTTTTTATTTTGTTTCATCATTCCTCATGTTGCTTGTTTTAATCTTATCAACAAGCCCAAGACTTGTGAATGTCTATAGGATGCTCAGGGGCGGAGCGTGTGCATTTATCGCTCACTCCAAGATTCTCCTGCTCTTGGCTCTGGTCCAAACTGGTAGCAGTACCTCCCCATTGCTGCTCAGCTTCCTCATGCTGAACGCACACCTGCTACGCCATTACTCAGGCTGCACTCTGCCTAGTGCTCCATTGCTGCCGCCCATACCCTGCGGCATGCTCCTCCTCCTCAGGCCCCGGCCCCTTCCTGAGTCAGCTCCAGGAAAGCAAGCCCTCTGAGCTCTACCTGCAGCCCCAGGGCAGCTTCTGTAGTGGGCTCCACACAGGGCTCCCTCATCCCAGGAGGTTGCAGTTCTTGTCATTTATTAACTCGACTGAGTCCCAATAATGCTCATCCCCCCAAACTCCTCTTTCTGGGTCTTCTCCTCTTTCATCAAACAACCCAGACTCCATCTTATCCCCGGGAAGCTCTTATTTATTAAAGGGCCTGTAATTCTTTTCTTTGTTTAAAAAAAAAAAAAAGTTTCTTGTAATTTTGTATGTGGTGGCAACATACCTTAAATCTCAGCACTCAGAAAGCAGAGACAGGCAGATTTGTGGGAGACTGAAGCCAGTGTGATCTACCTAGTTAGTTCCAGGTTAGCTGGGTTCAAGGAGACCATGTGTCAAAAAAAAATTGTGTGTGTGTGTGTGTGTGTGTGTACCAGACATGGTAGTGCACACCTTTAGTCTCAGTACTCAGGAGGCAGAGGTAGGCAGAGCTCTGTGAGTTTAAGGCCAGGCTGGTCTACATCGTGAGTTCCAGTATAACCGTAACTATATAACGAGACCTTGTCTCAAACAAAATAGGCTGGGTAGTGCATACCTTTAATTTAGCTGGGGCTGGGGCTACAGGGAGACCCTGTCTCAAAAAGACCAAGTTACAAGTATACCAAGAACAGGGCAGCACGGGAGCTGGACCTGTGAGTTTCATATTCTTGCTCTCTCCCACTGCACCAGGCTGAGCTGGGAAGGGCGGAAGTCTGGAGAAGAGTCAAGGTTGAAGAAGGGGCCTGGCCTGTGTCTGGCACAGGAGGTCAGGGGAGGATGGCTGTGGGCAGTGGGACACACTGAGACAAATATAATGCCCTTCTATCCTGTAGCTGACCAGCTCACCGTGGTGGGGAAGATTTCCTTCAACCCCAAGGATGTGCTGGGACGTGGGGCCGGTGGAACTTTCGTTTTCCGGTGAGTGGCTGGGGGAACCCAGGCGGCATTTACAGCTTTTTGACACACAGAGGTGAAGATGGGTCAACTCCTCTGCTTAGCAGTTCTGCCCCTGTTGTTTATCTGCTTTCTCTGAATCCCTTACCCCTGGTCCACCTCCCAGGGGACAGTTTGAGGGACGGGCAGTGGCTGTGAAGCGGCTCCTCCGAGAGTGCTTCAGCTTGGTTCGGCGGGAGGTGCAGTTGCTTCAGGAGTCAGACAGGCATCCCAATGTGCTGCGCTATTTCTGCACTGAGCGGGGTCCCCAGTTCCACTACATTGCTCTGGAGCTCTGCCAGGCCTCCTTGCAAGAGGTGAGCTGGGCTCTAAGGAGGGAGGAAAGGAGATCTCGCGCTGAAGATTGACTTTGCTCCTCTCTGCTGCTCAGTACGTGGAGAACCCTGACCTGGAACGCTGGGGCCTGGAGCCCACAATGGTGCTGCAGCAGATGATGTCTGGCTTGGCCCACCTGCATTCCTTACACATAGGTACCATGCCTGTGGTTTCTGGGCCTCAGTCCCCTGCTCTACCCCATTAGCAATCAGCTCACTCTGCTCCCTTTCTGTAGTGCACCGGGACCTGAAGCCAGGCAACATTCTCATAGCTGGGCCTGACAGCCAGGGCCAAGGCAGGGTGGTCCTCTCTGACTTTGGTCTCTGTAAGAAGCTGCCTGCAGGCCGCTGTAGCTTCAGTCTCCACTCCGGCATCCCAGGCACAGAAGGCTGGATGGCACCAGAACTCCTCCAGCTCCTGCCCCCAGACAGTCCTGTGAGTCTGCCCACCTGCCCTGGGCCACAAGGGCTCTCTCTTGGCTCCCATTCTCTCTGGAAGAGGCTCAGTGCATAGCTTTGAGCTGCTTGAGCTCCTCTTCCCAGCCTGTTTGTTCATCTTTTCCTAGCGAAGAATCTAGCCTCTTACCATCACCAACTGTTTTGCATCTTGGAAGGCATTAGGCAATGTCAGGAGGCATTTTAGTGGGCTTGACTAGGGAGGAAAGTCTTGGGTAGCTGGCTGGTGAAGCCAGGGATGCTGCTAAACAATGCCACAGAGTGCAGGGTGCCACTCTCTCCAACAACTATGTCCTCACGCAGTACTGTTCAGGTTGAGAAATCATGATGTAGAAAATGACTTTTTGTCAAGACAAGGCCCAGGCTGGCCTTGAATTCACAACCTTCCCACCTCAGCCTCTTGAGTGCGAGGATTACAAGCATGTGCCACCATGACTGGCTTAAAAAATGATTTTCAGTCCTCACTATGCTTCACAGTCACTGAGGAACTCAAATTCATACAAGCTGGGCATGCCTGTCGTCTCAGCACCTAGGAGCTTGAGGCAGGAGGATCTTGGGCTCAAAGTACAGAGGAGACCCTGTCTCAAAAAAAAAAAAAAAAAAAAAAAAAAAGATGATGCTGTTGAGCCTTTCACCTATTCTGAATAGCTGGGGGTAGAAGCCAAGGTAATTTTAATGTAGACTGGGGCCAAGAATGAAGGAAATGAACTAATGTGGGAAGCAGGGAACAGTAACTGATCCCCACTGAGTCTGAAACCCCAGGACTATAGATTTGGAGTCCCAATGAGTGCATGGAAGAGTAAACAAAAGAGGACTAACACATCAGGACAGTGGCTAGGCAAAGCCACTCCCATTCCTAAAGACAAGAGAAAGTGGTGACCAGGAGACCCAAGGACCCAGGTACTAAATGCCCTGATGTTATAAGCCTATACAGTACATTTAAAAAATTGGCAGCCAGTATTTTAATATTGGGGAAATCAGCCCGATTACACACACACAAACACATACACACACAAAGCCTGGATTATTGGATTAATTTGGAAAAATCAGCTCTGCCATCCTGGCAGTCTCCTGGTGACAGCCAGAGGCGCTAAGAACCATCCACTCTGGTGGTCGGGCCTATACTGGGTCACATCTTCATCCTGGCCTCCTGCCAATATGCAACTAGCCTCTGTTTGGCTACATGCACACACCCTATAGGAAGGCAGCTGGGAAATCAGAACAAGAAATTCAGTGGGGACAAAGAAGTGTCCTTCATCCTGTTCTTAACATCACCCTGGTTGCCCCATAGGTCCAGGAGGGATTTAGCCAGACCCACTTCTTCCTTCTCATGTCCACTCTCTGGCCCCCAGACCAGTGCCGTGGATATCTTCTCTGCAGGCTGTGTGTTCTATTACGTGCTCTCTGGCGGCTGCCACCCCTTTGGAGAGAGTCTCTACCGCCAGGCCAACATCCTCTCGGGGGACCCCTGTCTGGCTCAGCTGGAAGAAGAGGCCCATGGTGAGGGAGAGCTGGGCTAGCAGACAGGAGGGAGACATGAAGGAGGTCTGAGGCTGGGCAGGTATAAGCCATACCTTTTCCCTTCTGCTCTCCAGACAAGGTTGTAGCCAGGGACCTGGTAGAAGCCATGCTGAGCCTGCTGCCCCAGGAGCGCCCTTCAGCAGGCTGGGTGCTGGCCCACCCCCTCTTTTGGAGCAAAGCCAAGCAGCTCCAGTTCTTCCAGGTCAGATGGAAATCTTGGGAAGCACCTTATCACCCCAAAGTTTCAAGTTTTGGTCTTGAATAAGAAAGGGGAAGTCTGAAAGGCTAGGAGAAAACAGCCTGGAGCTTTGCCATCTTGGCTCCCTGGGAGCCATGCATCATTTATGGCTTAGCTCCAGCTGCCCTTTGTGTGGAAATACAGCCTATTCTCATCTGCAGTCATTCATGCTCCAGTGCACATATGCTTTCCATTTGTGACCTTGAGCAAGGGACCATGCCTGAGTCACAGTCGTTAACCCCCACCCCCAACCCCTGTCAAGTTGAGGCTACTTCAACACCTCAGCCATAAAACATGACCCTGGCCTTGGGGCTTATGGTCATAAGGCTCAGGAGCTCTGTGGGATCCTAGGATGTCAGTGACTGGCTGGAGAAGGAGCCAGAGCAGAGCCCCCTGGTGACGGCCCTGGAGGCGGGAGGCCACAAAGTGGTCCGGGACAACTGGCACAAGCACATCTCCACACCACTGCAGGCAGGTAGAGGACACACTTGGGATGGGCCTGAGGGGCAGAAGGGACCCACTGGGGACACCTCTGCAGCCCATTTCTCTGGCCACAGATCTGAGAAGGTTCCGGACATACAAGGGGACATCAGTGCGAGACCTGCTCCGTGCCATGAGAAACAAGGTATGTTCTAGAGCCTGGGAGGGACTGGGAATAGGGAAGGCCTGTGATAGCTGAGCCAGGTTCCCTGCACTGCCCATCCGCAGAAGCACCATTACAGGGAGCTCCCAACAGAGGTGCGCCAGGCACTAGGCCAACTCCCCAACGGCTTCATCCAGTACTTCACACAACGCTTCCCGAGGCTGCTGCTCCACACTCACCACGCCATGAGGATATGTGCCTCTGAGAGCCTCTTCCTGCCCTACTATCCGCCAGCCTTGGATGCCAGGGGGCCCTGCGAGATGCCACAAGGAAGAGAGGCAGCCAAGGGCCCCAGAAGTGGACCAAGGAGTTGGGCCTGTGGCTGAAACTGGCCTCAGGGAGCATCAGAAAAAGACTAGCAGCAGTCTGGCAGCCTGAGGGTGCTAGAGCAGCAAAACACTCTGGGGTCTGGTGGCCCTCAGGGAATACAGGACAAAAAAAGATTTACATATATTTAATGTATATAAAGCTAAGGAAAGGGTAGTCCCCAGTTCAATAGAAATATCTGTACAATTGATACAGTGGGCTGAGGACACAGGAAGAGGCTGGAGGAACCCACACCCAACATGTACAAAAATAACTTACACAGTAACCCCTACAAGGATGGCACAGCTCTCTGCCCAGGGCCAGGAGGCACTGACAGCAGCCCCAGGAGCCCAGCAGCACAGGCCCAGGGCTAGCAGAGTGAAAGGCCAGCAGCACAGGCCCAGGGCTAGCAGAGTGAAAGGGCACCAGTCCAACGGAGGGAGGCCTAGGAGGAGGCCTTGAGGCGGTTGCAGGCTGAACGGGAGCTCAGCAGCTTGTCTACCATGGTGCGGGCATAGCGCAGCCGGCTAGCCAACTCCTTGCAGCAGCCATACTCCTCCAAGAGGCTTAGGCGGTATGTTCGGAAGTCCCTCTTCTCGTCGATGTAGGTCACTGCGGCCATCAGCGGGCACAGGATGAGTTTGGTGTGGTCCTAGGAGGGACGGAGGGAGAGTGAGGATCCCAGCTGCTAGTGCCTGGGGATGAGGAGGCAAAGGGCAGGAGGTCATCGCAGCTGAAGGGGGTAGGGCCACCTGACTGCCTTCCTAACTGTGTTCTCAAGGACAGGGACCCCAGCAACACCCAACCCACATGATCACACCAAGTACACCCCTCTGCATCTCCTGCCCCAGTGCACCTGGAAGAAGTTGATCTGTACTGTGCCATTGCTGAGATGCAGGATGATGGCGCTGCGTGTTCGAAACCATGTTCGCAAGTAGGGCAGGCGGGCCAGCTCATCGCCTTCCCGTGGAGTGATGTTGGCGCCTGCCTTTAGCAGGTGTTCGCTCATGTAATTGCGGAAATACTTGAGGAGCGTGATCTGGTTGGAATGTGAGGGAGGAATTCCTAATGACGGCCTGACCCGGTGCAGCCCCCACACCCACCACACTGCTCCCAGTAGCCAGTGCTTACCTTCTTCATCAAGGAGTTGGGGTGGGAACTCACAGTGAGGTAGGTTTCTGTGCCATCCCGCTCTATATACTGCAGGCTGTCACCATCATTGTAAAGGATGAGGCGGGTTGAGTCATTGAAGAGCACCCCAACACTGTTGTCACACAACTGATACCCTAGTGCCAGGTGGAATGAAATCTCAGAAAGGCTGGGCGGGGGGATATAGGCCTGGAAGGCCTGGGGATATATGCAACTCAGCAATAGAGAGCTTGACTAGCATGCACAAGGCCCTAAGTTCAATCCTTAAACACACACAAGCACTCACTCACCTGGCCACACCTGAGCCTCCCCCAACCCCCATACTGGAAGAAACCTACCAAGGCCGTACTTGTCCGAATAGTCCACCCACTTGCTGACCCAGAAGATGGGGATGCAGGCAGGATCCTCAGCCTCCTCTGGAACAGAAACAAACAGATCACTGGTTAAGCCAGCCTCTTCCCTCTGGTCTTCACAGGCAGCCCACCCCACGGGAGTGGGCTAGGCAAACAGATTCACTCTTACTCTGTCATGGTGAGTCAGTGGCTAGTGCTCCAGGTAAAAGTGATTAAGAAATTGAGCAGACCATCAGTTTCAGATACACCAGGATGCTGGACTCAGTGAATGCAACAAATTAAGAGAACTAAGACGGGTAAAGGGGTTAGGAAGTGCTGGCTGTGGGTGTCAGGGCAGTGACACCAGAAGACACTAGGGACAAAACTGTGAGCTAGCAAGATTACTGAACTCCCCACAAGATTACTGGACTTTTGTTAAATGATCTACTCAAGATTAAAGATTCTACTACTCTAGAGAAAGTCTGCTGATTTCTGTGCCT